CATATACATATAAATATATATTAATTAACTTTTTTCCATTAAGATGAAATTGAACAATCTACAAGTAACGAAACCATCCTCATTTTCGCTTCATCTGTAAATGATGGCTATTTTGGGAGAGCTGCCATTGACCAGGTACATATGAACTATGTAGACACTTCTAATCATACACTTTTATAAGAACATAATATTTTGACAAATGTAAGCCCGTTTAACAGTAGATGAAAAGTAACACTAGTGAGTGATTCTAAAATACCGGTATTTTTTTTTATTTTGAATGACCATGGTTTCTGCGTTTTTCCATGATTATGACGTCATTAGAATTGATTTGTCAAAATATGTTGTTGTATACACGATAAATCGTTATCCAATCGTCCTAGTGTTTTTTTATTTCTGTTATATTCTATATGAACAATTGCGTTTTAGGATTTTATCGTTATTGTTGTCGTTGCAAGTATAAACAGGCCTAAGATTCCGAAAGAAGTAGGCCTAAGGCATTTGTCATCCAGTAAACGTAATCACAAACAAAGGAATTTGACCGTTAGCATAATACATACATAGAGCAACGGCGGCGGAAGGTTTTTGAAAGTGGGGTGGGGGGCATTTCATAAGGTCCAATATGCGAGCGAAACGAGCATTTAGGCTTGGGGCCAGGACGCCACCAAGGGCCTTCTGCAAGCTACGGATATTTGATTATGGCACCTATAGATGGCCGGAAATTGCACTTTCAGACATAAAATTTGAATATAATTATCTTTTTATCTCCATTTTTTTTTTGAATAATTAAGGGGCGGGGGCCGGCTGGGTCCCCTTGAATTCGCTACTGGGTACTTTTGGAGATGGAGGATCTATATCACCTCAGTCCTATGGTTGGGCTGAGGTAAGAATATTTGTGATTATGTCATCTCTAGATGGCGGGAAATTACACTCTCAGACTTGAATTTGAATATAATTTTGCCTATATCTCCATTAAAAAAAAAATGAACAATTTACACCCCACCTTGATGTGTCACAGATTTCCGAACAAAGTCGAAGTCGAGATTGTCACGATCTCAATGAATTATTTATCATAAGGGTTATCCTTGATATGGGTTCCCCGACGACAACTTTACCCTTCTATGTAGCCCGGAAATGATACTCCAACCGTAGTGGGTCCAGGAAGTCAAAATCTGTTCCGTTCCTTGGCACGTACTGGCCAAGGACATTTATTTCATCTTTTATATAAGGCCTTCGGCCCAAATAAAATATAATTGCTATTTATAGAGGGAAATGATCATTTCTACGTTTAAATGAGTGATAAAGAAATTTACATCGTTTGATATCAGTAGTGGACATTAATTGAGTAAACTTAACTTTGGATGGATTAACACTATAAAGTACTTAAATATATAATGTTTACGAATATCAGTGTAACAAGGGCAAATTAAAGTAAAATGGTACTCATCTTCACACTACACTAAATTTAATGTACAATGTTTGCATAATCTACCTTTTTGTTAATCAATTTTTGTCCATCTACCAGGTTCAATTTCTAATTCAAGACTCCTAAACGCAAATATGAGAATATGTCTATATAGTAATGCTCGTTAGAAAATGAAAAAAAACCACTATATTTTATAATGATAATAATAGGTCAATTTATAAGACGCATATAAACAAGGTGTCTAAGCACCAAATAATAATAATAATAATAATAATAATAATAATAATAATAATAATAATAAAAATAATAAAAATAATAACATCAACAACAACAATCCTCTTACGTTACAATCTGATCTTAATTCCATCTATAACTGGAGCATGTCTAATTCTATGAAACTTAATGAAAATAAGTGTCAAGAGATGAGGTTAACGAGATCTGTTAACCATGATGCCAACAAAGCAACATATAACATTAATGGTACTGATCTTATTTACGTCCGTAGTTACAAATATCTTGGTGTTACTGTGTCCGATAATCTTGATTGGGGACTACATGTCTCTAAAACTGTTTCTAAAGCACCTAGAACGTTGGGTTTTATTCTCATTATCCGTCATCGGAACCCTGAAAGTATCCTTAAGCTCTACAACTCTCTTGACTGACCTACTATTTAATATGGAATTCCTGTTTCGGTTCCATATTAGATAGGTCATCTAAAAGATCATGAAAGTATACAACGTAGAATGAAAAGATCATGCTTTTCCACAACATCCCATATCCTCAACGTCTTGTTAATCTTGGAATTGCACCCTTTCAACAACGTATTTATTATCTTTGTATCTGTTTCATTGCAAAATATCTGTATCGAAAATATTCTATAAACATGTCGAATAATGTTGAAATCAATTGTCGTCATTTAGATCACTTGAAGTTTACTCATCACTAGTATAGTCGCACTGATGCTTATAAATTTAGTCTTTTTAATCTATTTCAGAGGATATGGGATGCCGTGCCTTCACATATTCGCGACAGTTTGTAGATTGGCCTTTCTCAATTTCTTCGTGCTTTAAAGGATCACTTCAAAAAATAAAATTTTCGATGGCGGATAATCTTGACTTCTTGATTTTAAATAATTTTAAATTTCTCTTTTTTTCTACTGCCGTCCCTGCTACTTATTTTGGTGTCGCAGTTTGCTGGCATCATTTATTGTTATTCTCATGGAGTTTCTGGGAATATCCAAGTGTTTTTTCTAGTGGCTCCATGAGAGTAACAGTATATTGTTTCTTGCGTGCTGCGCTGTGCTGTTCTGCGCTGCTTTGTGCTGTGCTGCGATTTATTTTAAATTTTTACTTTTTAACTTTCTTTTTCCCTTGGCCGTTTTTGCTAGTTTTTACTTCCAGAGAACAGAGATTTATATATTTATTTTATGTATCCTTAAATCAGTGGAGAAACTTTGTACAGCAATTTAGTTTGCTTTTTGTTTATCCTGTCTCTGATTTTTGGTATTGTTATTTCTGTACGTTTTGTTATTTGTTAGACGAAATAAATGAAATTAAATGAAATAATGACATTGCAGCGTTCGTAAAATGCTTGTCACTGGTGCTGGGAACAGTCACAAAAATGGGGGGAGGGCAGGCCTCCAGTAGAAAAAGTGGGTCGGCCAATGGCCCCCTGGCCCGCCCCTCGCTTCCGCCGCCGTTGCATAGAGCGGAATTTACGTTAAGAAAACATTAAAAACTGTATCTAGTATCTATATCAGCATGTGCATCATTGGGAATGGCCAATTACTTTTGTTATCATAACATGTGCAAGATGCAATAGGCCTACTTATTTGAATGAAGTACTGTACTGTAATAATGAAAGCCACCCAGAGTAAGTTAACAACAGAAGTAGACAAATAAATGATACAATATATGTACAGGGAAAAACATGGAGCAGCAT